CATTGGAGGCTCTATTTCCGAGGAGACTGGCGCTGGAGGCACTTCTACTGCGCCCCCCTACCGCCACGACATACGACTCCAGGCGGCTCACTGCCGTGAGCGTGAGGAGCAGGAGTGGTTGGAGCAAGAGAGGCGGGAGCTGCAGCAGTTGGACATGCAGGATCAGTAGGAGGAGCAACAGCGGGAGCAGCAACAGCAGGCACCGCCGCAGCAGCCGCCGCATCTGCCTCTTATGCGGCAGTTGTTCCCAGCCATGAGTGGCCTTTGGGCCCTTGGTTTTCCCTCCTCTTCTCTTGTCCGCTCCCCGTCTCCCCCTGCCTTCGGTCCTACGTTTCCTCCTCCGGACGTGTCACCCGTTGTTTCCCCTCCTCCTCGGTCCCCGTCTCCTCCTCCCGTTGTCCCACACTACCATGTCCGTCCCTGTCCTCCGCGTGCTTGTCCCTCCTTTCCCAGTGAGGACCTCAGCACTGCCTTCTTTTGTTCTTCTCATCGCTGTTTTCCACCTGCGTCTGTTCTCCTGTCACCTCTTGAGTCCTCTCTGACTGTCTCCTCTACCTCTATCTCTGACTACTACCGTGCAGCTCGCCCTGTTGTCTCTCGTGCCCTCGCCTCTCTTGTCACCGACCCTCGTGCCTCTCCATCGTCTGTCTCAGCTCTTTCTGCGCCTGTCGGTGACTTTACTACCACCCGCCGCCTTGACTACGCCACTCGTGTGGTGGCTGCCCATCCTCTATCCGTCGGGGGTGAGTCTGCCCTTGGATGTGACGTCCTAGAGGACAGGCAGTCTGACTTGGAGGTCTTGGCTGCCGCTTCTCCCTCTCTTTGTGCCATGCTGCTTTCCCCTGAGGGAGTCCTCGACGCCCTTGACACACCCACTCCTTGCACGTACCGTGAGGCAGTGTTAGGGGAATGGGCCTCCCAGTGGAAAGCGGCCATGGACTCAGAGTTGGCTTCTTGGAGATCCACAGGCACCTACGTCGACGCAGTCCCCCACCCAGGGCGAATGTTGTCGATAGCATGTGGTTCTTCAAGGTGAAGCGGCCGCCTGGATCACCGCCTGTGTTCAAGGCGCGCTATGTGGCTAGGGGCTTCAGTCAGCATGAGGGAGTTGACTTCTTCCAGACCTTCACTCCGATCCTGAAGGTGACGACTCTTCGGGTGTTACTTCATGAAGCTGCATAGCGAGACTACGAGCTGCATTCTTTCGACTTCTCCACAACGATTCTCTAGAGCCGCCTATACATGGAGATCTGGCTGCGATGTCCACCTGGCTTCAGTGACACCTTCCCATCTAGGACCCAGTGGAACTTGAAGCAATCAGTCTACGGTCTCCGCCAATCGCCCCGTGAGTCGCACGACACTCTCGCTCCACGCTTCGTGACCTTGGGTTTCGTCCTTCTTCTGCCAACCTGTCACTGTTTGTTCGCACTGGCTCCACTCCTTTCTTTATACTGGTCTACCTCGAAGGCCTTGTCTTTGCTACAGCAGAAAGGGCAGCTCTGGCTGAGGTGAAATCCGAACTGCAGAAGAGACAAACGAGCACTAACATTGGTGAACGGCATCACTACCTTGGCCTGTAGATCACCAAGGACAGAGCCGCTCGCACCATCACACTGACTTAGTCAGACATGGTGCAGCAGGTACTTCGGCGGTTCGAGTTTCAGTTCTCCACCACACAGCCCACTCATCTAACCTGTAAGAGACTAAGGACGGAGTCTAAGAAGTTTAAGGGCCGAAATATCTCAAAATCGTTGTACTAATTATCTGGACAGAAAACTGGACTCCACAAGAAACGCCGTCGACGAACAGTTCACCGTCAAAACTACACCAAACTCGGATATGTTGTAGCCCTGAACCGTGGCTACAATTCCCAATTTGAATCGCATGCAAAGGTGCGGAATGAATAATGAATCTCGGCGCACTAGGGGGTAAGCTGCCACTGTAACTTAATCACAATTGTCTCACAAGTTTACTCACGAAAATTAGAGTGGCTTGAAACCAGGTAGGAGGGTAGAGGAGGACGAGAGGGAAGGTCCCAATAGAGTCCCCAACCAAGGAAACCCCATACCACACAATTACCCTCCCTATAGGCACCCTAACTTTGACATTTGTCACTTTCTCAACCTCCACAATCCACCTCACCCAAGTTGGCCACACTTGCCAACCCAATTTGGTTTCTCCCAACCACTTGGCAGCATCTACAGTGATGGGGACGAATTTCCCAACCCCCAAAAGTCTGTACCCCATATTGAGTCACTTCACAACTTCCCAAAGTTGTCGCATCCCAATCAAAACCTTGAGCGATTATAACTTCGTCGTTCTTGCTCCGATCGCAACGATTCTTGGTTCATCGAAAAGCTATTTAGCAAAGGATTCACATCAGATATCTGCTCAAGCCAAATAAAATTCACACATACTAAGAGAATCCAAACCACACCAAACACAAACTCTTGCATACACTCACACCACGCATACAACGCACGAACATATGGAGCTTGCGGCATCGGTGTGCGATGTGGCGCGAGACTGCGGCATCCAGCGCAAGTGTCTGACCGAGTGGAAGAAGCGAGCGCAACTTTTCAAAGACTCACACGCACACAGCAGAGCTTCGTGGTATCAGCACGGCGTGCGGGCAGCAGGGCAGGGCAGCGCGCGGGCTGCAGCGCAGGGCTGCACGCGCTCTGCAGGGCTGCGCGGGCAGGGCAGCACGCGGACTGCAGGGTTTGCGGGCAGCAAGGCAGGGCAGCGCACGAGCTGCAGGGCAGGGCGGCAAGCGGGCTGCAGGGCAGGGCGGCAAGCGGGCAGATCGCAAGTAGCTACGCACGCGGGTAGCGCCTAGGGCAGCGCGCATACCAGGGCAGGGCAGCGTGCACGACGCTGTGAGGGCAGGGCAGTTACGATCAGGCAAGGCAAGTCAGGAAAAAAGGGCAGTTCGTACGGTTGGTGGGCCCCAACGGAGCTGTCCTACGGAGGGACCTGCCCTGAATACCATGTCAGAACTAGCAGGCAAGAATGATGGACTAGTAATAGGAGATGGGTACAAGTACTACTGTATTCTCCCGGATAAAACACCCTAGGGTATTATGAAAACCACTGGGAAAAAATGGGGGGGGTCTCCTCAAAGGAAAATTCTACATAATACCCGGGTCTTATTATATGGTATATTTTTTATCAAGTAGAAAAGATGTGAAACAAAATCAGGGGCCTGACTCCACTTCAAGAATGTTGACCAGTGCCGCAAAACCGAGTATACGAGGATAGCGTCACTGCCCACTGGAATCTTCCACGTGGCAAATCCGAGTGGGCAATTCTGGCACTTGATAGGGTGAAAACAAAGCCAATTGCGTGGCGAGGGTTCATGCAACCGCCGAGGCCAGAATCGCGCACAGTGGTGCGTTCTTACTGTACCAGTCACTTCTTGACTGGTTTGGTCACGTGTCTGTGCCTCATGTGAGAAGGTGATTTTCACCTATTGGGCCACTTGCAGCGGAAGATTCGCCAGCGTGGCGACAGCGAGATTGTGGGAGGGGGGAAATCTTGGCAGATTCTAAGTGAAAGTACACGCGAAATTTCACCTAGGGAGCAATTCTCGCGATATCTTCCCGTAAGGAATCGGACTCGATAACAGCTATAATATGAATCTATATGAAAAGGGGGGTGTTATAGAAAATCACCCCAAAAGGGGGGGTATAGTACAAACGGGGTCGGATATAACACCCACCCCGTATTAGCTACCCGGGGGTGTACAATTACGGGGGGGTGTTTTATCCGGGAGAATACGGTAGGTCCAACCCTAAAGTGTTGTACTCAGTAGAGACTACCCCTAGGGTCGTCGCTAGCATAATTTTTTTGTCTGTTTGGCTGATATTCAAACATGTTTTTTTGGATAAATCTGATGGGCCAGTCACCATCAGACAAAAACTTTTTTTTTGCCCCTTACCCATCTGATGCATCAGACATACCGTATTCTCCCGGACATAACACCCTAGGGTATAGCTAAAAATACAGTGAAAAAATGGGGGGGGTCTCCTCATAGGAAAAAAATGCATAATACTCGGGTCTTTACATATGGCATATTTTAGTGTTAGTGTTTTTTTAATTAGTCAATGTGGGTGTTTTGCTGGTCGTTTTAGCATCACTGCCTGAGGTGCGAATGTCAGTTTCGGCCTCGAACTTCATCGCCCTCACGAAAATGCCATGTGACACCTCTCTTGCCACTTGCAACGGAAGATTCACCTGCACGTGGCAACAGAGAAATAGTGGGAGGGGGCAAATCTCGGCAGATTGCCTTTGAATGTACCGCGAAATTTCATTGAGGGAGAAATTCACACGATATTCTTCCGTATTGCAGCTACTCGTTAACGACTATAATAATGAATCCGTAAGAAAAGGGGGGTGTTATAGAAAATCAGCCAAAAAGGGGGGTATAGTAGAAACGAGGTCTATCATAACACCCACCCCGCACAAGCTACCCGGGGGTGTACAATTATGGGGGGGTGTTTTGTCCGGGAGTATACGGTACCTCAGACCCTAGGGACGACCCTGGCTACCCCACTGCAGGCTACAGATATACGTACAAACACAGTTTGACACTTTCTTAGCTACACATGGTTTCGCAAAATAACTATTACGTGTAAATAACGAATCTGGAAATCATGCACACATGCGCAAATAGACATGCATACGTGGAGACATGAGTACATTAAAACGAGACTCCGCATTTCTACGTGCTGCACCCGCACAACGATCGCTTATCGTTGGTTTAAACGACGGAGGAGACATGCATAAACAGACATGCATAGATAGAGACATGCATAAATCGAGACATGCATAAATCGAGACATGCATACATAGACATGGGAGGCATGCATGCATAGGACATGAGTAGACAGGCATGCATACATCGAGACATGCATACGTATACATGCATACCGTACATGGAGACATGCAGACATGCTCCTCAATGACACCTCCCCGATTGCCCCCACGCAGCAGTGCCCTCACCACCCCTCCCCACGCCACTGCCTGCACAGCACCTCTGCTCGCTCCGCCAGCAGGCGCCTCACCCTCTCATCCACCTGCTGCGCCTGCCGCCCTGCCTCGCCTGCCTTCTGCCCGCCCACATGGCGTGGCGCAGCGGCAGCAGCAGAAGCAGCGGCGGCAGCCGCAGGTGGGTGGCACGGCATGAGGTTTGGTGATGACGTGGGCACGTGGGAGTGGTGGGAGGGAAATGCGAGGCGGGCGATGCAGGAGAGGAGGCCGGAGTGGCGCAGGAGAGGCGGAGAGATGTCGAGGCTGGCCAGGTACCACAGCAGCACTCGCGCTTGCCCCGCCTGCACCCGTGGACAGCACAGGGGGGGGGGAGTGACGGCGACAAGCTTACGTCGACTACAACTGACAAGTGCAAAGAAAGAGGCAAACAAATCAGGGGAGATCAAATCGGCGGCAAGGAGGCGAAATGAGTGAGAGGAGGTGGTGGTACGGGCACAGCAGGTGGCACAGCAGGTGGCACAGCAAATGGCATGCGACTCACTGCTGCATTGGAGAGCAGCGCTCCTTCGAGCCGCGCCTTAATGGACGCCAGCTGATGGGGGCACACCGGAAGAACGAGAGAACCTGTTGCGCATTGGTGCGTGCTTCAGAGAGAATATGTGGAACAATCCGCCAAGGGAGAGAATGTTGATCACATGTAAGTAAGACGAGCACTTCACTGTGCAACACGGCGCAGTGAAGCGGAGAGACTCACCTCCGCCATCACTGCTAGGTCCAACTGCTCATCCTCTCCCCCATCTGCACCTCTCGCATGCTTCTCCTCCGCTACCGCGTCTACTCCTCCTCCTCCCCCTCGGCATGCACGTGTTCCGCCTTGCTCTGCCAGCCCGGCACGTGCAGCAGCAAGGCTGTTGTGACGGCACTTGCTGTGTGGGGGAGACTGCATCTCCTCACTCGCACTCGTGCTCTCACTCGCACTCGAGCCTCCATTGCTTTCACTCAAACCATCGCTGCTGCCGCTGCCCTGCTCATGCCATGCTGCCCCACACTCTCCGGCCCTCGCCCTGTGTACCCTCGCCCCGTGTGCCCGGCGCTGCTCTCGCCGGCCACCACCAGCGCCCAGCATCTCTCGCCCACTGCACCCGTGCGTGCGCCCCGCCTGCTCTCCTCGCACTCGCCTCTCCACCTTCTCCACATGCCTGTGCCTCTCGCCCTCCGCCCTTCCTCCCGCCTCTGCCTCACTGCCCTGCTCTGACCGCCGCCAGACTTTCCTTATTCGGGGGCCCTCCCCACTCAGTAGACCCTCCGCACTCAGTAGACCCTCCCCACTTCCCTCCCCACTTCCCTCCCCACTTCCCTCCCCACTTCCCTCCCCACTTTCCTCCTCACTTTCCTCCCCACTTCCCTCCCCACTTTCCTCCTCACTTTCCTCCTCAATGCCCTGCCCACTTCCCTCCTCACTGTCCTCCCCACTCCCCTTCTGACTGCCCCCCTCACTCTCCTCCTCACTGCCTGTCTCACTGCCCTGCCCGCTGCCGGCCTGCCGTGCACCAGAGCACAGCAGCCCCTGCCACGGGTCAGACGCGCCTTCTGAGCGCGGGGCAGCAGCGGGCGGCGGGGCGTGGCCATGGGGGTGGCGCAGGGTGAGACGCTGCACCCCGCGCTCACGGCGGGTGCAGGGGGGGTGGTCAGCAGCAGTGCTGGAAGCAGCCACACGTGCAGCATCCCCGCATGTGCCAGTGGAGGCAGCACCGCCTTGGGAGGTGTTGCACGGATAAGCGACGACGCGGCCCTCGCAGCCATTGGCCCCAGTGGTGACAGCATGAGCATGAGCATGTGAGCGAGCACCCATGTGGCCGTCCCCACCATCCCCCCAAGTGGGCACGGCAGGCAGCATCCCCTTGCGTGCGTTGCCTCGAGCCACTCGCCCGCGCTTCATCGCCCACCCCTCCCATTCCCATCGCCCCCTCTCCACCCCCTTCTCCGCACGCCTCTTCCCTCTCCTCACCTCCCCCCCTGCCTGCCCCGTCCTCTCCTTCACCTGATCTCGCGCCTCGTCCCACCGGCCTCGCTCCTTCACCACCCTGCCTCTCCTTCCATCCACTCCTCCCACCTCCCTCTCACCCCTCGCTCTCCTCTCACCTCCCCCTGCCCTCTCTCCCTCTTTCACCACAGCTCTTACTGCTCTCTTTCCCTCCACCTTCACTGCCCCCCTCACAGCGTCAGCTCCCATGCGCACAGCTGCGGGCAGGGCGAGCACCACGAGGCGCGGCCCAAACGAGGCAGTGCCCACCAGGCCGGCACATCTGGACGCGTCCACGGCTGGGCGAGCCAAAGGGGGGGACTTGGGAGTCTCTTCAAGGGTGGCTTGGGGTGTTGGCGGAATGGGAGTGGGACACGAGGGCGTGCAATGTGGGAGAGGCGTGGGAAGGGTGAGGAGTGGGAGTGTGGGCGCACGGGGAGGAAGCGGGCAGGGCAGAGGCGGGGCGTTGGAGTGAGGAGGCGCGGCAGCAGATTGCGATGGCTGTGCGCCCCTGCAGGGCAGCCTGGCAGCGTGAGGCCTGCTGACCTGGGGCTGGGCAGCAGGTGGAGGGGGCAGGCGGAGGAGTGGAAGGGGGGCAGCAGCAGGAGGCGGAGGGCGAGGGGGCAGCGCTGGGTGGGTGGCGGCAGAGCGTTGGGGCGGAGGGATGTGAGGTGGAGCAGCGGCAGGCGTTGGCAGGCCATTAGGTGAGAACGCAGTCATGGCTGTTGCGGTGGATGCACGCAGCAAGGCATGCGCAGCTGTTGGGCCGCCAGCAGTCAGCCGTGGTGGGCGCTCGTTGCCCGCTGCTCTCGTGCCCACACGTGCACGCCGCTGCTCCACTGCATCCCTCCACTGCCCCCTCACTGCTTCCTCACCTTCTGCTCCCACCCCTGCTCCTCTTGCTGCTTCTCCTGCAGCCTCCCCCACTCCCGCCCACTGCACACCTCCACGTGCTCGCACAGCTACCTCACTCTCCTCATCGCTCTCCATGCACCCTTCTCTCTCTCTCGCCCCCTCGCCCCTCGTCCTCACCACCACCAGCAGCTCCTCCCCCGAGTCCCTCCCTCCCTCACAATCTCTATCCCTATCCCCGCCCACACCCTCCTTCTCTCCCTCGCTATTCCTCTCACTGTTTCCGCCCAAACCCCCATGCCTTTTCCCCTCGATGCCTCTACATCCATTCCCATCTCGCCCTCTCTCGTCCTCTCCGCCCTGCCCCACCGCCACCATGTCACCCGCACTGCTGCAAGCCCCTCCGCCCGCCCTCGCAGCGCCAACAGAGGCGCCTGCCACGCCGTCCCGCCAGCCACCCTCTCCCTCTTGCTGCCCATGCCTTGTCGCCTCGCTGCCTTCCCACCTGCCCTCACCGCCTCTGCCCTCACCGCCTCTGCCCTCACCGCCGCCCACAGCATGCAGCTGGTGGCCCCCCTCTGCGCGGGTGCCCCCCTCTGCGCGGGTGCCCCCCTCTGCGCGGGTGCCCTCCTTCCACCTGCTCGCCTCCGTGCGTGCGTGCTCCTCCACCTCGCGCCCGATCAGCACGTTCATCGACACCACTTTGCCGCCCTCTGACCCCTCCCACTCGCCCCCACTTATGTTCCCTCGCCCTCTCCCCGTTTCACTCCTAGCCCGTCCCAGTGTGCCCCTCCCTATAAGCACGTTCACGGAGACCACTTTCTCGCCCCTGTCCCCTTGTGCACCCCACTCCTCCTTCCTTCCCGATACCGTCACGCCCATGCCCTTTTCCTCTTTCTTCGTCTTCTCTGGCGTTCCCCTCCCTATAAGCACATTCAACGACACTGTCTTATCTCCTCTCACCTCGTCAGTGCCCCCCCCGACCGTTTTCTCAGGCGCTGTCACTCGCTGCCCCTCTGCTTCTCTCGCAACCGTCCCCACCGCGCCCCTCCCAGCAGGCCCCGTGGCAGCGCAAGCAGCGGGCGGCATGCCGTGGTGGAAAGAGCAGGTGGGTTGGGAGATGCCGTGCAACCCGCCACCGGCCATCACTTGGCAGGCGTGAAAGGCTTCCCCCCGCACCGTGCCGAGGGGCCACTCCCCGCCTCCACCCCCGCCACTCACTGCCTCCCTCTGCGCCAACCCCCCACTGCTCTCACTCCCTCTCGCCGCCGCTACCCCTCCGTCCCCATTGCCGCTCATCCCTGTCTGCTCGCCACTCGCCTCTCGCCCCTCGCCGCTCGCCTCTCGCCTCTCGCCGCTCGCCTCTCGCCCCTCGCCGCTCGCCTCTCGCCCCTCGCCGCTCGCCTCTCGCCCCTCGCCGCTACTCGCCCTTCCACTTGCCATGTTCCCATGCGCTCCCCCCTCGCCCCCCTCGCCCCTTTTGCCCTGCATGTCACTCGCGCTTCCACTCCCTGTGCCCTCCACACGCACGCCTGCCACGTCCTTCGCTGCTCCCTTTTCGTACACCATGCTCCCCTCCCCCTGCTCCGATCCCCATTGCCGTTCCTCGGTTTTCGCCTCTCCGTCTCCCTCACTCACTTCCCCACTTCCCCATCCATCCCTCCCTCCACTGCCTTTCCTCGCGTGAAAGCATTCGCGTCGTCTCTTCCGCTGCCCCCACGCCACCCACCCTGGTAACGCCTCCTCCTCTCCCCTGCCGCCGCCCCTCCCCTCCAACCCCCTCTCCGCACCCGCCTCTACTCCTCCCCTGCCCCGCATCTCGCCCCTCTTCTTCCGTGCGGCTCGCTCGACCGTGCGCCGCTGAAACACATCCCCGCTATAGGGCACCGCTCCTTTCCCACGACTGTTGCGAGTCAACAATGTCATTCGGGCCTCCCTGCGCGCGCCGTCCTTCCCCGCGCCATCGTCCGACCCCATCCAGACAGAACACGTCTGCCGGCTGCGTCGCTCGAGCACGGCACGTGTCACTCCAGAGCCAGGTACGAGCCACGCGGCTTGCTGCCGCCAAGCCACCAAGGCACCTGCTTGCAAGTGAATCCCGCAGGCTACCTCAAAATGATCGAGCTCTGGAAGTTAGGGCGGTGCGGACGCGTCACAATTGAAACATCGGAGGAGGTTCGGAGTTACACATCGAAGCTGTGAGCGTCGATCTCCTCCGAGCCACATGTTTCGCGATCCTCGGGATCCTTATATGGCTGGGTTAGAAACGTTTTCGAAAATTGCGAATGTTATATGCGTGATTAAAGCCCGAGTCTAGAATGGCTACTCTTCAAGTTCAAGATTCTTGAACTAGGATTCGCCACGGAACCAGGTAACCCGAAACCCTAGCCCCCAAAGGGGTGATTGGAGCCCTTGTTTTTGATTGGCTGAAACTACACAGCCACAACAGTCACAGCCATCGCCAGGAAAACACAGAACAGAAACTACTGTTCATACTTTCGGAAACTTGAAGCTCAGGACTACCTTTCTGGACTCCATGGTAGTGGGCTCCTTAGCCCTCAGAATCGGCTTTATCCCGTAAATGATTAGGCAAACACCTGTCACTCGACTACGAATCTTACGGTCAACGGAAGCATTACTCACTCCCTTCACTCCTGTCACTCGTAATCCTGACTCGCACATGCTGTTCGCACATAATGTTAGCGCAAACGTCCACAAGGTGGCTACATCTCGGCTTTCTAAGACATCGCTCACCTGTTCCCTTTTAGGATTCTAGCTGCTGGGGCGGGGGGATGTCCCGCGAACGCTGCTGCTGCTGCTGCTGCTGCTGGCGCTGACCACTACCAGAGCCGCTCCGCTGCGGGGCACCACCCCGACCAGCTCCACCCCCTCCGCCACCGCCGCCTCCACCTCCGCCACCACCGCCGCCTCCACTCCCACCGCTGCCGCCGCCACCGCCGCCTCCTCCGCCGCTGCCACCACCACCACCGCCTCCGCCACTACTCCCACCGCCACCCCCACTCCCTCCGCCGCCTCCACCGCCCCCTCCACCGCCCCCTCCAGCTCCACCCGCGCCCTTGCCCCCCTTGCCCTTGCCAGGGCGGCGTCTCCCGCTAGGGGCAGACGCCGCGCCGACCGACTCAAGACCAAGCAGGTCGGCAGCAGCAGCAGAGGCAACAGAGGGCAGTAGGGGGGAAGGAGAACACCCCTCAAAGATGGGGGTGCGAGGGTCACCACGAGAGGCTCCGACAGCGACGATGCTCTTCTCCGCCGCTAGGAGGGCCTTCTCGAGGAGGTCGACAGTGAGAGTGGTGGGACAGACTGAGAGAAAGTGGTCCCTGACTACACGAAGGGAGTCAGCGAGGCGTGTGACTATGTAGTAGAGAGTGATGTACATGGGGGGGGGGGGTTCTTGGTGCAGAACTCAGCAGGAAGGGCGGCGCGGTAACGAGTGTCACTAGTGCGGAGGTGCGTAATGAGGTCAGCGACAGTGGGAAAGGCAGTGAGATCAGGAAAGAGGTACGGTAGCATGAGACGGCTCAGTGCAGCAGTGGCAGGGGAAGAGTAGCGCGCAACTACAGCGTCGTACAAGGTCTGAGCACTCTTGTACTGACTAAAGTGCGCGCGCTCAGTGGTGGGCAAGTGGCGACGCACATCAAGACGTGCAGCAGCATCGCGGGTGGCCCACTGAGAGCGAACAGTGGGGTCAGCATCAGCAGCAGGGGCAGGAGAGGCGCCAGAGGTGAGGTCAAAGAGGGAAAGACCGTCCGCCCTATCGCACTGTAAGAACAGCTGCAGGTCGTCGACCCAGACCTCAAAGTCAATGGCTCGACCCTCAGCGTCAAAAGCGAGGACACTAGGGGTAGCCATGACGACGACAGTGGAGCAGTGCAAGCAGTAGGGGAAGGGCACGCAGTGACAGCGGTACGGTGCTCACCGGGCAGGGCAGGTCGGGCGGCTCGGCAGGAGGGCGGCTTGGCGACTCGGCGGCTCGGCTGCTGGGCGGCTCGGCTCCCGGGCGGCTCGGCGGCAGGGCGGCTCGGGTGCCGGGCGGCTCGGGTGCAGGGCGGCTCGGGTGCCGGGCGGCTCGGGTGCAGGGCGGCTCGGGGCCGGGGCGGCTCGGCTGCCGGGCGGCTCGGGTGCAGGGCGGCTCGGGGGCGGGGCGGCTCGGTTGCACTGCGGCTCGGTGGTCCGGCGGTGCGGCGGCTGCTGCTGAGCGACTCGGCTGCTCCAGTACCGGGCGGCGTGGCGTGGGCGGCGGGGCCGCGTAGGTGAGGGCGGCGAGGCCGCGTAGGTGAAGGCGGCGGGGCCGCTGAGGTGAAGGCGGCGGGGCCGCGTTGGTGAGGGCGGCGGGGCCGCGTAGTAGGGGCGGCGGGGCCGCGACGTAAGGGCGGCGGGGCCGCGAGAGCTGGGGCGGCGGGGCCGCGATGTAAGGGCGGCGGGGCCGCGACCGCAGAGCGACGGGGCCGCGATCAAAGGGCGGCGGGGCCGCGATGTAAGGGCGGCTGGGCCGCGAGAGCAGGGGCGGCGGGGCCGCGATCAAAGGGCGGCGGGGCCGCGAGAGCAGGGGCGGCGGGGCCGCGATGTAAGGGCGGCGGGGCCGCGAGGTAAGGGCAACGGGGCCGCGATCAAGGGGCGGCGGGGCCGCGATCGTAGGGTCGGCCGCTAGGGCGGCTCGGTAAGAGAAAGGCCCGAGGCGCGACTCGGGATGAGTGCGCTTCGGGCAGGAAAAAAAAATCGAGTGGTGGGCCCTTGGCGCAGTTCCCACAGGGGAACCTGCTCGATACCATGAGAAGAATAGAACGAGAATGAATGAACTATGAATGAAGTGAGTACATATAGGAAACCCTAATTGGGTTGTACCCCCTATGGGATACCCCACTATAGCTTACACAACAGCATAAGCTATATAACATTCTGACACCCAGTTGCGGTTGGTGCGTGTTTTTACGTAATAGACTCCTTTTGCTTCTGCCAGTTACTAAGAATTTTCGGTCGTAAAAAATGGGTCGGTACTGTATTTGTGGGTAAATAGGCCAGTTAGCAGTGGGTTGGTTTAGGTGAGTAGGATGGCGTGGAGTTGGGCGGTGGGGCGTGTGAGTGCGTCGGCCTTTTTTATACGTGACCGTGTAGTGGAAGTTGGACTCCAGATAGCAACCAGCGGATCTGTCGTGGGTTGAGATTCGGTTGGGCGCGAAGGTACTGTAGTGATCGGTGATCTGTCCGTACTGTCACGTCTGCTCCCGTGAGGTAACATCGCCACACCTTGAACGCGTGCACGATCGCCAGCATCTCACGGTCGTGTATCGGGTAGTTGCATTTGGGCGGGTGAAGCTTGCGGGACTCGTACGCGATTAGCTGGAGGCCGTTCCCGAAGTCCTGCAACAGTACTGCTCCCACAGCGATGTCGCTAGCGTCAGTGACGAGCTCGAACGGACGGTGCAGATCTGCGATATGAAGCACGGGCGGCGAGCACAAAATTTGTTTGAGGGTCGAGAAGGCAGCGTGCTCTTTCTCCCCCCACGCGTACTCAACCCCCTTCCTCAGCAGGTCGGTCAACGGGGCAGTCAACTTCGCCATGTTAGGGACGAACCGGCGCACGTAGTTGACGAACCCCAAAAAACTCTGCAACTCGGTCAAGTTTGTCGGCGCGTGCCATGCTTGAATCGTTGCGATTTTTTTCGGGTCTATTTCCACTCCGTCAGCTGAAATGATGTGTCCCAAAAACTCCAGTCGGTCGTGTAAAAACTCACACTTAGAAGCTTTGGTCAATAGGCGGTTCTCACTGAGTATTTTAAAAACTGCTTCAATATCCTGTAAGTGATGTGCTCTGTCGGGGCTGTAAATCAGTATGTCGTCGAGGTTCTCGATGACGCACATATCTAAAAGCGGGCGGAAGGCTTCATTGATTGTCATTTGAAAAGTGGCGGGGGCGTTGGTCAGTCCGAAAGGCATGACTGTGTATTCGAAGGATCCGTAGCGTGTGCGGAAGGCTGTCTTGGGGCAGTCGGGTGGGTTGACGCGAATCTGGTGGTAACCTCCTCTAAGGTCGATTTTCGAGAAAATCCGGGCTGTACGCAGTTGGTCGATCAGTTCGTCGGCTCACGGGATGGGGTAACGGGATTTAATGGTAACCCTGCTCAGTGCTCTATAGTCTATGCACATGCGAAAACCTCCGTCCTTTTTCGGCATGAACAGTATCGGTGCTATGAAGGGTGACGAACTCGGGCGAATGAACTGTTTTTCGAGCACGTAATCCAGCTGCTTTCTCAGTTCGTCCAGTTCGGATTGGGTCAGTCGGAATTGTCGCTGTATTATCGGTTGTGCCCCCGGTTCTAAACCTATCATGTGGTCGTGCGGTCGCTGAGGTGGCAGTCCCGTTGGCAGGTCGTCCGGCAAGATGTCACTGTACTGCTTCAACAGTGCTGCTAGATGTCATCCGGTACGTTAGCTAGCAGTTTTTGTAAATCCCCCCCTTTGTCTGCTGCCTCGGCTTCCCGAATGTCAACCGCGTACACGTCAGCTCCTGCCGCTACGGCCCGTTTCATCGTGATCGCGTTGACACCCACCGACGAAGACTCAGGCGAGCCCCAACGAGGTAAGGCGATGTTGTTACCGTTCACTTGCACCGTGCAGTCACCCGTCGTCCAGCCGATTCGCGGATTGTGTTGTCGCAGCCAATCACGACCGAGTAAAATTTCGGTTTCGTCGTGGGTTGTCGTGAGCATTTCCTGGCTAAACGTGAAGTTTCCCCCGCATCGAATCCGAACCCGGTCTACGCGTTCCCGTATCGCCAGTGGCGAGTCATCAACCAGTCTTGCGTCGATCTCAGATAAGCATCTATCCAGTGGTAGTTTCAGTTTCCGTGTTGTGGCAGTGTTGATGAGGCTGTGGCTGGCTCCCCCGTCTACGAAGATTTTAACTAAGTCGGTCCCGATTTTCCCACTAAGCAGTATGGGGCTGTCTACCGTAGTACCCTCCTTCTTCGGCCGTGTGTGGTCGATTGCGTGAACCGGCACAATCACTCGGTGAGGGTCGGTTGGGTCGGGCGAGCGGCGTGACCTGTGAGTAGAGGGCCCGTCTGCTACTGACTCCCAGCCACTGACATGGCTGATGACAACGCCAGGGCTGACAGGCAGGAACGCACGGTGGGCGATCAAACTGCAAGAACACGATTTCAATTTCAAATACAGGGCAGGAAAGACCTTGGAGCATGTGGACAGTCTCTCTCAGAACCCCCCCACAGCCGGAGCCTACAGCGACCATGACATTATTGGCAAGGCAGCTGGAGTTGAGCGGGGCCAAGGGAAGTGAGGGGCTAGCAGATATTTGGGAGGATGAACAGGCCATGCGGTGGGCGAAGGGGGAGATAGGGGAGGATGAGGAGATGCCAGAGAGAGTTAGGGCGAGGGGACACCACTACAGGTGGTACCAGCAGTAGTTGCAAATACAGATCCAGGACGGATGGAAGCTAGTTTCAGTGCTGGGCGAGAGGGATCAGTGATCAAGGAGGTGCATACAAAACTAGGGCATTTCAGGCATGAATTTATAGTGCAGCTGCTGAAGACGGGGTGGTGGCGGAAAGGGATGCGTAGGCAAGTGAAGGGGTGGGTGGAGGGCTGTGAAGCATGCCAAAGGAGCAGGGCAAACCTCACCCAAGCCAAGGCTGAGCTGCAGTCCCTACCTATCTGCGGCCTAGGCTTCAGGTGGTCCCTTGATCTGGCTGGAGAACTGCCTTTGAGCCGGGGAGGGAAGCAGTACATCGTGCTCATGGTAGAACACGTGAGTAAGTGGCTGGAAGTCAGGGCGATCCTGAGCAAGAGCTCAAGGCATGTAGCAGCAGCGTTCAAGGAGCAGAATGATGGGCTAACAGAGCGCCCTCTGTTACCTCTGCTGCTGCTGTGACTTCCTTCGTGCTGAGGAGGTTGGTGCCGCGTCTGCTCCAAGTGGGAGGCACCGCAGTGGCAAGGGGAAAGGGGGGTAAGGGTGGTGGGGGTGGAACTGCTGGGGGTGGTGGCAGTGGTGGTGGTGGGGGTGGGGGTGGTGGTGGCAGCGGTGGAGGTGGCGGGGGTGGTGGAGCGGTGGGGTGGGCGGAGGGGGCTCGGGTGGCCGTCGGGGTGGAGCTTCTAAGGGGGGAGGGTCTGGGACGACACAAGGGGGTGTAGCTCGTGGAGGCGGAGGCTCTGGGGGTGGACAGCAACAACAGAGTGCCAACTGGAGACACTCACGCCCCATCAGCTTCGTGAGTGGGTTGTTCAACGTAGTGCTCGTTGCCCGTACATCAGGCGCACGAATCTTCGGGCAGGTGACCCCTTCGGGAAGATTGGACACACCGAGTATTGTTGCTTCTTCCGTCTTGAGGATGCCTGGCGCACCGCGCACGGTGACGACACTGAGATCCCCAACTGGTTAGGATTGCTCCATAAGGGGGTTGATGTGTTTTCTCTAGACTTTGATAAGATCAACGCTGCCATGTATGCTATATATGCTGGTTCTGCTAGTATTGAGGGTGACTGTTACTCGTGTGTGCCTCCTGACCCTGGTATAGAGGCTGCTGCTCTATGTGCTAGTGCGTCTGCTGCCACAAGTGCTACTCCTGCTGAGACCCTGCACACTTTCACACTTGACTCTGGCGCGCCTCGCAGTTTCTTCCGAGACAGAAACACAGTCACACCACTCTCTGCACCTGTCCCAGTCTCTCTGGCCGACCCCTCTAGGGGCCCAGTCGTTGCACGTGCCTCTACTGTTCTCCGTGTGCATTAGTCCCTTTTGGCTCGCTCTCAGGTCTCCACCTCCCCCCATTCTCCGTGAACTTGGTGAGTAACGCTGTCCTCCATTACGATTTGGTCACTACCACTACTCCTCGAGGTGAGCGTGTGGCAATTTGTACATGTGCTCGAACTGGCCGCCACCTCGCCACGTTCACACGGAGGCCTGGGTCTGGCCTGTACACACTGACCAGAATGTCTGCACAGGTGGCTAAGTCCGGTCAGGTGGCTGCGTCAGGTCAGTTAGTTGCGTCTTGCTTGTGTCGACTTCTCACGCACCAGACTCTCCTCTGGCACCACTATCTTGGTCACCCTTCCTTGTCACGTCTGCATAGCATGCACTCCTGTCTCCTTGTCTCTGGCCTCTCTAGGTCCCTGCACCTGCTCCCGCGCTCGCCAGCACTACCGTGCCTTCCCTACGTCGAGGGGCGGTAGCGCGCCGCTCCCCACTCCTCCTTGTTTCCACCGACCACTGCTCCTCAACAGACTCTCCACATGGACATGTGGGGCCCAGCCCGCGTCAGTGGACCAGACCGCGAGCGCTACTTCTGGTCGTTGACGACTAAACGCGCTACACCACGGTCTTCCCCTTGCGGAGCAAGGCGGATGTTCCTAGTGTCTTGATTCCCAAGATCCGCACCGTCCGTCGCTAGCTCCGCGCGCGATTTTTGCAGGACTTTTCGGTCCCGTGTCTGCACTTTGACAAAGGTGGTGAGTTTTCCTCCCGCATTCTTGAGGCTTTTTGTCGTGAAGAGGGCATCGCCCAGTCGTTCACGCTTCAGGCCTTTCCGCAGTAGAGTGCGATTGCTGAGCGCTGCATTGGCTTGATCATGGAGGTTGCTCGCACCTCTATGATCCATGCGGCTGCTCCCCATTTTCTATGGTCGTTTGCGATCCGATACGCCACGCATCAACTCAACCTTTAGCCCCGTGTCTCCATGCTAGAGACCTCGTCTACACTGCGTTGGACGGGGGGGGTTGCCGATGTGTCGGCGTTTCGGGTCTGGGGTTCGCATGCCCTTGTCCGTGATAACACAACGGACAAGCTCTCTTCTCGATTCGCTGCGTCTTTCTTGTCAGAACATTATAGCTTATGCTTTTGTGTAGGCTATAGTGGGGTATCCCAGAGGGGGTACAACCCAATTAGGGTTAGTACTTGTACCCACTTCACTCATAGTTCATTCATTCACGTTCACTTCTTCACATGGAATCAGAGCAGGTCCCCTCCTAGGGACTGTTCCCAGGGCCCACCGAAGCGCGCCCCGAGGCGCGCGTTCCTTTTTTTTAGCGACCCTCCGTGTCGCCCCTAGCGGCCCGTTACGCCGCCCTTACCTACGCGGCCCCGCCGCCCTTACCTACGCGGCCCCGCCGCCCTTACCTACGCGGCCCCGCCGCCCTTACGTCGCGGCCCCGCCGCCCCTACGTCGCGGCCCCGCCGCCCTCACGTCGCGGCCCCGCCGCCCTCACGTCGCAGCCCCGCCGCCCTCACGTCGCGGCCCCGCCGCCCTCACGTCGCGGCCCCGCCGCCCTCACGTCGCGGCCCCGCCGCCCTCACGTCGCGGCCCCGCCGCCCTCACGTCGCGGCCCCGCCGCCCTTACCTACACGGCCCCGCCGCCCTTACGTCGCGGCCCCGCCGCCCTCACGTCGCGGCCCCGCCGCCCTCACGTCGCGGCCCCGCCGCCCTCACGTTGCGGCCCCGCCGCCCTTACGTCGCGGCCCCGCCGCCCTCACGTCGCGGCCCCGTCGCCTCACCTTCGCGGCCTCGCCGCCCTCACCTTCGCAGCTCCGCCGCCCTTACCTACACGGCCCCGCCGCCCTTACCTACGCGGCCCCGCCGCCCTTACCTACGCGGCCCCGCCGCCCTTACGTCGCGGCCCCGCCGCCCTCACGGAGCGGCCCCGCCGCCTCACCTTCGCGGCCCCGCCGCCCTCACGTAGCGGCCCCGCCGCCTCACCTTCGCGGCCCCGCCGGTCTCCCCTCCTGCCGAGCCGCCCGAGCAGCCGCCCGCCACGTTGCCCGGTACCGGAGCAGCCGAGCCGCCCAGCAGCAGCCGCCAGGCCGCCTGGCCGCCGAGCCGCAGTTCAGCCAAGCCGCCCACCAGCAGCCGCCGAGCCGCCGGGCCGCCGACCCACAGTACAGCCGAGCCGCCCAGCAGCCGCCGCCGAGCCGCCGGGCCGCCGAGCAGCAGTACCGCCGAGCCGCCCCGCAGCCGAGCCGCACTACTGCCGAGCCGCCCGACCTGCCCTGTCTGGTGAGCACAGCCCTACTGCTACTGCGTGCCCTTCCCCCACTGCTTGCACTGCTAGTCTGTCGTCATGGCTACCCCTAGTGTCCTCGCTTTTGACGCTGAGGGTCGAGCCATTGACTTTGAGGTCTGGGTCGACGACCTGCAGTTGTTTTTACAGTGCAATAGGGCGGACGGTCTTTCTCTCTTTGACCTCACCTCTGGCGCCTCCCCTGCTCCTGCTGCTGATGCTGACCCCAATGTTCGCTCTCAGTGGGCCACCCGCGATGCTGCTGCACGTCTTGCTGTGCGTCGCCACCTGCCTACCACTGAGCGTGCGCACTTTAGTCAGTACAAGAGTGCTCAGACCTTGTACAACGCCGTAGTTGCGCGCTACTCTTCCCCTGCCACTGGTGCACTGAGCCGCCTCATGCTACCGTACCTCTTTCCTGACCTTGCTGCCTTTCCTACAGTCGCTGACCTCATCACGCACCTCCGCACTTCTGACACTCGCTACCGCGCTGCACTTCCTGCTGAGTTCTGCGCCAAGAACCCCCCCCCCCATGTACATCGCTCTCTATTACATAGTCACTCGCCTCCCTGACTCCCTTCGCGTAGTCAGGGACCACTTCCTCTCAGTCTGTCCCACCACCCTCACTGTCGACCTCCTCGAGAAGGCCCTCCTAGCGGCGGAGAAGAGCATAGTCGCTGTAGGAGCCTCTCGTGGTGACCCGCGCACCCCCATCTTTGAGGGGTGTTCTCCTTCCCCCCTGCTGCCCTCTGTTGCCTCTGCTGCTGCTGCCGACCTGCTTGGTCTTGAGTCGGTCGGCGCGGCGTCTGCCCCTAGCGGGAGACGCCGCCCTGGCAAGGGCAAGGGGGGCAAGGGCGCGGGTGGAGCTGGCGGGGGCGGTGGAGGTGGCAGTGGCGGTGGCGGAGGGAGTGGGGGTGGCGGTGGGAGTGGTGGTGGGGGTGGTGGTGGTGGTGGCGGCAGCGGAGGCGGCGGCGGTGGCGGCGGCGGCGGAGGGAGCGGAGGCGGCGGTGGTGGCGGAGGTGGAGGCGGCGGTGGCGGAGGAGGTGGAGCCGGTCGGGGTAGTGCCCCGCAGCGGAGCGGCTCTGGTGGTGGTCAGCGCCAGTAGCAGCAGCAGCAGCAACGTTCTCGGGACATCCCCCCGCCTCAGCAGCTCCGTGAGTGGTACACGCAGCGTCAGCGTGGTGGGGGTCTTGGCCCGTGCACCTACGTTCTTCGTTCCGGCGATCGCGCGGGTGAGCAGTGTGGGGGTGCCCACTCCACCCAGCGCTGCTTTGGCCGCCTGACGGACGCTTGGCGTCAGCAGTTCCCCGAGGCTAGTGAGATTCCCCGCTGGAGAGAGCTGTCTAGGGCTGGCGTAGCGATCTTTGATCTTGACTTTGATGCTATCCTTGCTGCCATGTATGCTGTGACTATTAGTGATGAGGGTGACTGTTACCGGTGTTTCCCGCCCGACCCGGGCATTGGTACTGCTGCGCTAGGTGCTTGTGAGGCTGCTGCTCTAGGTGCCAGTGCGTCTGCACTCTCAGGTACTGGTGAGGCTGCGCTCTCAGGTACTGCGTCGGCTTCGACCTCCCTCACCTTCACACTTGACTCAGGGGCTTCTCGCTCCTTCTTTTGAGACCGCACCACACTCACGCCGCTTGGTCGGCCGGTTGCAGTCTCCCTGGCTGACCCCTCTGGGGGTCCTGTCCTCGCTCACTTCTCCACTGTCCTCCCGTGTCCGGCTGCCCCCTCGGGCACCCTGTCGGGTCTGTACCTCCCCTCGTTCTCGACAAACTTGGTGAGTGGTGCTGACCTGCAGGATGCGGGGGTTCACCAGTTTACTCCTGCGAGTCAGCGGGGGACCCACTGCTCGGACGCCCGCACAGGCCGACACCTAGCCACGTTTTCGCGTCGGCCCGGGTCGAGTCTCTACACCCTGACCGTTGAGTCTCCTCCAGTCCCTGCGTCTGGTCAGGTAGCTGCGTCGGGTCAGGTGTTTGCTGCTGCGTCCAGGTCTGGTCCTGAGTCTGCCCCCTGCTCGTGTCGCCTCCTGTCTCACAAGACTCTCTTGTGGCACCACCGTCTTGGCCACCCCTCCTTGCCTCGTCTTCGGGGCATGGCTTCCCGTGTCCTTGTCTCTGGTCTCCCCCGGTCTCTCCCTCCCCTTCCTTCGGGGCCAGGACCTTCCTGTGTCCCCTGTGTTGAGGGGCGGCTCCGGGCTGCCCCTCACTCCTCCCAGTTTCACCCGACAGAGGCTCCTCTGCAGACGCTTCACATGGACGTGTGGGGCCCAGCCCGCGTCCGTGGACAGGGTCACGAGCGCTACTTCCTGCTGGTGGTTGACGACTACTCGCGTTACACCACAGTCTTCCCCTTGCGCAGCAAGGGTGATGTCACTGAGGTGTTGATCGACTGGATCCGCGCGGCTCGTCTCCAGCTCAGGAGGAGCTTCGGCTCGGACTTTCCTGTTCTGCGTCTGCACTCTGACCGAGGCGGAGAGTTCTCCTCTGGCCTTCTGCGAGCCTACTGTCGTGCACGAGGCATCCGCCAGACCTTCACGCTTCCGGACTCTCCACAGCAAAATGGGATTGCTGAGCGCCGCATTGGCATGGTCATGGACGTCGCTCGTACGTCCATGATGCATGCGGCTGCCCCCCATTTTCTGTGGCCGTTTGCGGTTCGGTACGCGGCGCATCAGCTCAACCTTCACCCCAGGGTCTCCCGGCCGGAGACCTCCCCAGCTCTGCTGTGGACGGGGAAGGTCGGCGATGCGTCTGCGTTCCGTGTCTGGGGATCTCAGGCGTTTGTCCGCGACCTGTCTGCGGACAAGCTGTCCCCTCGTGCTACTCCCTGTGTCTTCCTAGGCTTCCCCCCTGACGCCCCAGGGTGGCAGTTCTACCACCCCTCCTCTCGTCGTGTTCTGTCCTCCCAGGACGTCACGTTCGACGAGTCCGTCCCCTTCTACCGCCTCTTCCCCTACCGCACTCCTTCCCTCCCGCCGCCACCGCACTTCCTTGTGCCAGGTCCCCCCCCCCGGTAGACCCCCTTCCCCCTCAGGGTCCTGCCCCTTCAGGTGTGTCCCAGGTCGATGCAGTCGAGCCGGTCGAGGTTGCTGGTGACTCAGGTACTGCTGGGGGTGCTGAGCCTGGGGGTGCTGAGCCTGGGGGTGCTGACTCTGGGAGTGCTGAGTCTGGGGGTGCTGAGCCTGGGGGTGCTGAGCCTGGGGGTGCTGCCTCTGGGGGTGCTGAGCCTGGGGGTGCTGACTCTGAGGGTGCTGCGCGCGTGGGTGCTGAGCCTGGGGGTGCTGAGCCTGGGGGTGCTGCGTCTGAAGCTGCTGAGCCTGGAGGTGTGGAGCCTGCGGCCACTGGACCTCCCCTTGTGGCGTCTGGCGGTACTGGGCCTGGAGGTTCTCCGGGTGTTTCGTCTCAGCGGGAGCCACTCTCTCCACAGGAGCTGCGTGAGTGGTTTGCTCGCCGCTGGAGGCGTACTGCTGGAGCTGGCGCTTCTTCGGCCGCTGAGGGTGCTGGTGCCGCCGGTCCCGGAGCTGCTGGGCCTCCGGGTCCGCCTGGAGCTGGAGCTGCTGAGGGTGTTGGTTCTGAGACTACTACTGTCCGTCCTGGTGGTGGTCGTGCTGCGGGTGCTGCTGGCGCTGCTGGAGGTCCTGCCGCTGGAGGTGCTGTTGGCGCTGGTGCTGCCGGAGGTGCTGAGAGTGCTGGTGCTATCCCTGCTGTGTCTGGTGCCGCCGCGCGGCCTCGGCCGTACTTCGTTCTGCTCCTTCAGCAGGTTCTTGGTCTTCCTCCTCTCTTAGAGGGTCCACCGCCTGTCCAGTCGAAGTCACAGTTACCGCCGGCCTCCCCACTGCCTTCTCCCTCTCCCTACACTGGTCCTACAGGAGGTCTTGCTGAGCGTCGTGAGCCTGCGTCTCGTCCTGCGTCGCCTGTTTGTGCTGCTCGCACTAGTGGTCGCAGTTCGCGTCAGCGTCCTCCTCCTGTCCCTGGCACGCACCGGATGTCTCTGCGTCCGTCCACTGCTCCTCTGCGTGCCCCTTTGCCCTCTCCTCTTCCTGCACTTGCCGACCCTGAGTCGGACTCTCTTCGTGCTGCCAGTCCTACTGTCACGCGTCTCCTTGGTACTGTCGTCACTGACCCCTCCTTTGAGTCCACTGCTGCGTCTGCTCTTGTTGCTGAGCTCGTCGACTTTGCTGCTCGCTGTCGTCTAGACTACGCTGCTAGTCTTGTTGCTGAGTCTGCGTCTGTCTGTCCTCCGTCCGTCGGGGGTGAGTGTGCTCTTGGCACGGACGTCCTTGAGGACAAGCAGGAGGAGTTTCAGTGTCTGGCTGCTGCTTCACCTCATCTCGCGTCTGTACTGCTTGCCCCTGAGGGAGACCCGGATGCACTAGACATCCCGACTCCGCGCTCTTACGCGGAGGCCGTAGAGGGTCCCTACTCCTCTCAGTGGCAGGCAGCTATGGATGCAGAGATGGCTTCCTGGAAGTCCACAGGCACCTACGTTGACGCGGTTCCCCCTCCTGGGGCGAACATCGTCAGTGGGATGTGGATCTTCAGGGTGAAGCGGCCGCCGGGCTCTCCACCTGTCTTCAAGGCGCGGTACGTGGCTCGTGGCTTCAGTCAGCGGCAGGGAGTTGACTACTTTCAGACCTTCTCTCCCACCCCGAAGATGACCAATCTTCGGGTGCTGCTGCACATAGCCGCTCAGCGCGACTACGAGCTCCACTCTCTTGACTTCAGCACTGCTTTCTTGCAGGGTAGCCTGCACGAGGAGATCTGGCTGCGCCGTCCACCTGGCTTCACTGGGACTTTCCCTCCTGGCACCCAGTGGAGCCTCCGACGGCCAGTCTACGGTCTCCGCCAGGCACCGCGTGAGTGGCACGACACACTGAGGACTTGGTATTGTGGATACTGCTCAGCGGCGACCGTTTTTCTTGCCACAGCTGCACTCGTCGCTACCACCACCTGGCTCGGCACTTCGAAAGGTTCTTAGTCTTCCATCTTCCACTGGCCTTGCTCCTCCCTTACTGTGTCCACCGCGTGACCCGTCTCAGACACAGTTACCGCCGGACTCCCCGTTGCCTGCTCCTTCTCCTTACACTAAGCAGCTAGACTCCCTGACAGAGCACCGTGGGCCTACGTCTCGTCCTGCCTCGCCTGTTCGCACTATTTGTCATGCTCATCGTGTTCCTCGTCCTCGTCCTCCCCCAGTCCCTGGAAATCACACTATGACACTTCGTCCTTCCTCTGTTCCACAGCGTATTTCTCTACCGTCTCCTCCCGAGTCCTCTCTTCCTGACAATTTTTACCCTGGGTCTAACCTTGCACGTGCTACTAGTCCTACTATCACGCATATTCTAGCTACACTTGTCACTGACCCTACTTTTGAGTCTGCTATTGCATCTGCCTTGGTCACAGAGCTCGTTGACTTTGCTTCTGCGTGTCGTCTTGACTACGTCACTAATGTTGTTACCGAAACTGAGTCTGACTGTCCTCCGTCCGTCGGGGTGAGTGTGCCCTTGGCACTGACGTCCTTGAGGACAGGCAGTTTCGGCTCGAGTGCCTTGCGGCTGTTGTACCTCATATCGCTGCCATGCTGCTTGCCCCTGAGGGAGACGCGGATGCACTAGACATCCCGACCCCGCGCTCTTACATACAGGCGATCACATGTCCTTATTCCTCTCAGTGGCAGAGAGCCATGGACGTAGAGATGGCATCATGAAAGTCCAAAGGTACTTACATCGACGCAGTTCCCCCGCCTGAGGCGAACATAGTCGATGGCATGTGGATTTTCAGGGTGAAGCGGCTCCCGGGTTCTCTGCTTGTCTTCAAGGCACTTTACGTTGCACGAGGCTTCAATCAGCGACAGGGGGTTGACTTCTTCCATACCTTCTCCCCCTCCCCGAAGATGACCACTCTTCGGATGTTACTGCACGTTGCAACACAGCGTGACTACGAGCTCCACTTGCTTGACTTCAGCACATTTTTCTTGTAGGGCAGCCTTGACGAGGAGATCTGGCTGCGCCGCCGACCTGGCTTCACTGGGTCGTTTCTTGAGGGTACCCAGTAGAGCCTTTGACGGCCAGTCTACGGCCTCCGTCAGATGCCCCGCGAGTGGCACGACACACCAAGGATGACGCTTGCGGCTCTTGGGTTTGCTCCTTCGACTGCTGACCCGTCACTGTTTCTGCGCACCGACTCTTCTCTTCCGCTGTTCTACGTCCTCGTGTACGTCGACGACTTGGTCTTTGCTACTGCTAACACTGAGGCACTGGCCGTAGTGAAGGCGGAGCTGCATAAGCGACACACCTGCACTGACCTGGGTGAACTGCGCAGTTATCTTGGCTTGAAGATCACTTAGGAGAGAGCATGGGGCACCATCACCCTGACTCAGTCACACATGGTGCACCAGGAGCTTCAGCGCTTCGGCGCGCAGTTATCTTGGCTTGAAGATCACTTAGGAGAGAGCATGGGGCACCATCACCCTGACTCAGTCACACATGGTGCACCAGGAGCTTCAGCGCTTCGGCTTCTGGTTCTCCTCGCCATAGTCCACTCCTCTGCCTACAAGCCACTCGCTCTCAATTCCACATTCGGATGAGTCCGTAGAGCCGAGTAATCAGTAGCCAGAGCTTGTGGGCTGCCTCATGTACCTGATGACCTGCACCCGACCAGACCTCACATACCCTCTCAGCATCTTGGCACGCTACGTTGCGCCCAGGGGAAATCGACCAGAGCATTGGCGGGCTGCACGGAGGGTGCTGCGTTACTTGTGGAGTACATCAGGCATGGTGCTCGTGCTTGGAGGACGGGGTTCAGTTGGGTTCGGTTGTACTCACTTGACAATCAAACGCTTCTTGGGCAGACGACCAGGCGACTCAACGGTCATCACAAGGTTACACTTTCAGTCTTGGCTCCGATTCATTTTCGTGGAGGTCTATCCGTTCGTCTTTGTTCTCAGCTCCAGATGTGAGGATGAGATCTATGCGAGGGCCCTGGCTGCACAGGAGTTACGCTGGCTGACCTACCTGCTGACCGACTTGGGTGAGCGGCCTCGTTCTCCTCCGGTCCTGTACGTCGACAACAAGGCCGCCATTGCCTTGTGTCAGGAGCACAGACTGGAGCACAGAACGAAGCACATTGCTCTGCGCTACTTCCTGGCTCGAGAGTTGCAGCAGCGGGGTCAGCTTCGTCTTCCTTGGCTTTGTCCCTAACGCGTGTGCATTTTGACAGGTGTGTCAGAACATATATTTATATGTGTTGCTAGTTATGCTAGGCTGTAGTGGGCCACCCCATTATTGTAACTTCAGGTTTTTATCTGGTACTTCACAACACTCTCATCAAATCAACTCACTTGCTACTCTCCTAAATCATGGCCTACTTAAATTACTATTGTATCTCAACATTATCCTGGTTGGTAAACCTTGGCTAGTTACAAAATTTGCAAAAACATTCAAAGTTGAGACTGGTACCTTACTACAATAAGATTCTTTTGCTCATACAATCACAGAAAACAGCTGTTACTGTTGTAAAAATTGTCATACAATCACAGAAAATAGGAAAGTACAGCCTTCTTGCGGTTCCCACCCTCCCCATAAAGGTTGTTCCACTCCTTGAGCTCTTGCATGCTTTGCGCCTCACCAGCCACACTGGCCGACACCTGCAGCATACTCACAAAGCAGCATGGTTAATAACCATGTATGTACCATATATCACGGGTGCAGGTCAAGATACCACCCATGGCACAACTTGCCTGGTTCTTGCCCTCACGAAAGTCCTTCAAGGTCAGTGGCCTCAGCTTCAATGCTTCCTCGTTAGCACCGTCATCCTGAAAACAGAGGGCAGGGAAATGCATGAGTGCTCAGACAGTGCAGAAAGGGGACAAATGCAAAGCTGAAGAGTTACACTTACTGCTGCTGCAAGAGCCTCCCTCAGTACGCCATAAGCTGCTGCGGTGCAGAGAGTCTGCGAAACACCATACAGGATAGCACTCTTGCATTAGCACCGAGGAGAATAACTGAATCTGCACACAGAGACTCACCTTGAGGTCGCTCCCTGAGAAGCCTTCAGTGAGCTGCGCGAGCTCACAGTAGTCCACGTCAGCATCCACGTGCTCGTGCTGCAGGATGGAGCGCAGAATGAGCTCCCTGTTGCCCGCGTCCGGCAGCCCCACCATGATGCTGCAGCAAACAATAACGAGGACGAGAATGGGGCCAATAAGAGATGCGGTTCACACATAATCAAAACAGGATGCAATGATAGACCGAGAGTAAATGAAGTGCAAGAGGATGGCGCGCATGGGTGTGGTCGGACCGGCGCTGGAAGCGGCGGATGATGGCCTCATCGAGGTCGAAGGGGCGGTTGGTGGCGGCGAGCACGAGCACACGGCTGCCCGCCTTGGAGGCGAGCCCGTCCCAGTGCGTCATGAACTCGTTCTTTATCTTCCTCATCGCCTCGTGCTCCCCCGCCCCCTTGCGCTGCCCCAACATGCTGTCCACCTGCCACCGCAGCATGCGAAACGATCAATGTGAACCACCCAAACGAACACGAACCCAGCCAATTAAAACGCTTATGGGTGTGACGGGCGGTTGAAGGCTGATGGCGCGCGAGTGCATGAGGGTGTGGGGAGAGAGCGCACCTCGTCGATGAAGATGACGGTGGGCGCCACCTTCTCCGCCAGCGTGAACAGTGCCCTCACGTTCTTCTCGTCCTCACCGAACCACTGCACGCCACGCATGCACCACACAACCCAATCAGACATTGATACCAGAACCGCAAATCCTCGATTAACTAGTAAAATCCTTAATAGATCAAATCGTAAGAGCCGCCCACCTTGGAGGTGATGGTGGACATGGACACGTTGATGAAGCTCGCCCCACACTCCGTGGCCACCGCCTTGGCCAGCATCGTCTTGCCCGTGCCCGGCGGGCCGAACAGCAGAATGCCCTTGCACGCCTGCCACCACCACCAAGTAGCGTGCGTCAGAAGCTCTCAAGACATAAAACCGCAAGTGAGCCTAAAAGAAGAGAAAGAAGTCAAAGTAGCGAAGTGAAAGTGTTGACTCACCTGCAGCAGGCCGCCCTTGTTGAAGATCTCGGGGTGCTTGAGCGGCACGAGCACCAGCTCCCGCAGCGACTCCTTCACGCTCTCCAGCGCTCCAATGGACTCAAACGTCACTCCGATGCTGCCCGGCGCCAGGATCTCCGGGCGGATGCGCTTCTCAAAGTCGTTGTCGTCCTGCCCCGCCCCGCACACGGGGGGAAAATCCCCGCGTTAGCAAAACCATGCGAGCTTGGAAGCCAGGAGGTGGGAGCAGGGAGCATGATGCAGCGCAGGATTGTTGTGAACTTACAGATGCCGCTGCCGGGGCAGGGGCTGGAGCTGGCTTCTTAGGCGTGGCCACCTTGGGAGAGGCGACCTTGGCAGCAAGTGCCTCCGCTGCCCGGGGCGTCCTCACCGCATCGCCCCTGGGCGTGCCCACCTTGGAGCCCGCGCCCTCGTCGCCCTTGGGGATGCCCACGCGCAGCACCGCCTTGTGCACCGCCACTGGCTCCTTGCCCTGCCCCACCTGCACGCACAACAATGACGTTGCAGTTATAAATAAGTAGAACACGGAATGCACATCTACATGCACATGTGCGCAGGGCAGTGATGGGTACCTGGCCGTTGGTGACGGCGGTCTTCTCATGGCATGCACCATCCTCATCGAAGAAGAGACTCAGCGAGTACTCCAGCCTGCACGCATTCAATCGACAGCACACATGCTGTCAGCGCCGTGAGCGCCGTGCCACGGATGAGGCCCATGAAAGGCATGAGCAAGGAGGCACACGCACCTGTCGCGTGTGACGTGCAACTGCGCGTTGGTGCGGCCGGCAAGCATCTGCTCCGACAGGGCCATGTTGATGATGTCCTCCACCTCTGCACGCCCACGCACCGCACAGAACCGATTAGAAGAAACTCCCCTGACCGGGCTAAGTGGATCATGTGAGCGCACAGCGAGCAGCGCAGCGTACCATCGGCAGTGAGCGCGGCCGTGAAGTTGAACCGCGCGTCTGCCACGTCCTCATCCCACGTCACCTTGCGCGCCTTCAGCGCCTGCACTCAGAGAGAGGTGAGACAGACAGACGTGAGGCCACTTGCAGCATTTGCACCACCCATGAGAAGGACGATGTATTTAGAAAAGCGAGCACCAGCAGAAGCACAATTCTGTCACGCACCAGGAAGATGGCCTGCAGGTTCCGCTCGCACACCATGTAGTGACTCTGCTCCTTGAGCATCGCCTCCCACGCCCGCACCTTCTCACTCTCCTGCAACCACCACACTCACTCTTCACTCGTCAGCACGCCCTGAGAGACATTGTCAGCCTGACGATGCAAGATTCACTCAGCAGGGCGGCAGGCGTACCTTGGGAGCGCGCACTTCCACGTCAGAGTAAGATGCTGCGTGCACGTCCTGTGCAGATCAACACGCACGGGTGAGTGAGCCGGTTGCCACATAGGCCATACCCATCCACACGAAACAGATGGACAAATGAAAGCAATTCCGCGGAGCCGCAGGCTCACCTCGCAGGCAGCAGTGCAGGAGGCAACGACGAGCATGCCATGGGGACCCTCCACCCGCTTCGCCAGGGTCTGGGCCAGCGCTGCCGCACAGCCATCCGCGCTCGCCACCAGGCAGATCACTGGGCGCGCATGAGAGGCCTTGGAGATGGCCTGCGGAAGAATGTAAAAAAAGAGACGTTCAGAAAGTTCTCTTTTTCCAACAGCTGTCTCGGATGGATCGACAGTAAAGGCTGGATGAGGTGACTCGTAGCTCACCTGAAGCGTGGCAGCTGCGTCCCCTTTCTCCGTGAAATAGGCGAAGCCCGATCCTGCCATGACAACGAGGAGATTCCATGTCACGCGTGAGCGTCAAACACGGTGATGTCCCCGCACAGCACGTAGAGTCCAGTGTACGGAGCACCCACAAGGTGATGCAGCAGCGGAATGCTCACCTCCAGTCCAGATCGCGGGCTTTCTGCGGCTGCTCGACGCACCCCGCCAGTACGAGCTCTGCCACACACGGACGGTCGTTTAGATTTGCAACTTTGAAAAAAAAAGAAGAAGCCTTGACGGATACAACGGCGCTGCACGAAAGAACGGAACCAGGCACCTGCGAGAGCAGGTGCACGAAGGAGGCGTCGAGGAGGAACAGGGCGGCGTCGAACTTCTTGGCCAGCCCCTTGCACAGCTCCGCCTGGTACCGCACCGACCCTGCACACCGCACAGCACCGCACACCCGCTTCGTCAGGCACTCGCCGTCACGCCGTCGAAACGATCAAGATAAAGCGGAAGCACACGACAAGTACGAATACGCTCCGATCTGCGGCGAGATGCGATGCGAGGGGTACCTTCGGGGCCTCGCACGGTGATGGAGTGAAACCGCTTCGAAGCGCCCTCGCAGAGGAACGTCCTCCCAGCCGACGCGGTGAGCAGCTCGCGCGTCTTCTTGCTGCGCGGCGACACACGACCGTGAGTCAGATTCAACGACTTGCTTAGCAAATAAATCACCGGCGAGTGGCAGGAGGGGAAAGCGGCTCACTTGAGGAAGAAGGGGAAGTCGTCGAGCGACGTCGCGATCTCCGCGGGCAGCCACGCCACAACGCCGTCCATCGCCTTCGACGCTTTCGCGGAAGCCGCGTCGGAACGGGAATTAGTAGCCTCCTTCCCCGCGCCGCCCGTAGTTACGCCCGCCGCGGTGCGCGAGAGCGCCCCGCTGGAGAACGCGGCGACGCCTGCGGCGACAAGCGCGGACGTCACCACGACGGCCGTGCACGTGGCGGCACCCGAGGCCTGCGAGAGCTCCATCGCAACGCGGGATGCGAGTTAAGGAGGTGGCGCGGTACCGGCGTCTCTCAGCCGTGCGGCGGTGAGCGTGTGCGGTGAAGGGGGACGGAGAGCCTCTCGGACTCTGACAGTCCGCTGAGTGCGTGTTGGGTGCGCTTGGGTTGCGATCACAACGCTGTGAGCAAGAAGGGCGAGTTAAAAGGGTCGCACAAGGGGGCACGGTGCCCAACCACAGGAGGGTGGTGGCAGAGGCCCCCAGAGAGGTGGGTGCTCCATGCCCGGGCGCGCCAGAACGCCATGGGTTGTTGGAAGCTTGCTGCCGTGGACACTGAGAATGCCGAAAGCACTCGAGCTTGCTCCTTGCTGAAAGCTTTCCAGTTGGCTGCTGGACTCGACACTCGAGTCATGGAACATCGATCCTGAATTGCTCCTCTGCTGTGAATCCTCCGCTCCCTGCTTTGCTTCAGCCCTCCTCGGGAAATGTCGTTCGTTGCGTCAGCTGGGGCATGGAACGGGCTGTGAATCCATGGCGGCTCGTATGCTGACTCTGCTCGGGCCATGATTGGTTGAGATTCTGGTGGGAAACGTTCCACTAGCGAAATCTCGACGGATTCGTGGCACCACATTGGCTGAGTCTGTATGAAATAGTTTTCTAGTAGCTTTATCTCTACAGTAAAACCCTCTGCACCTCAAATTGAGTAAAGACAGATTTTCCATAGATTGCCGCCAAACGGTCACCATTGCAGACAAGGGGTCCAACCTGTTTTTATGCGACGTGTGTTAGCTTTCATGACGTTATCACTCACAATACCCCCCCAGCGTGGCTCCAAGCTACGGACCAGTCGCGAGTCGTAGGCGAAACCAATCGCGCGTCGTATGCGAAACCAGTCGCGCGTCGTAGGCGAAACCAATCGCGCGTCGTAGGCGAAACCAGTCGCGCGTCGTAGGCGAAACCAGTCGCGAGTCCTAGGCGAAACCAATCGCGCGTCGTAGGCGAAACCAGTCGCGACTCGTAGGCGAAACCAATCGCGCGTCGTAGGCGAAACCAGTCGCGCATCGTAGGCGAAACCAATCGCGCGTCATAGGCGAAACCAGTCACGCGTCGTAGGCGAAATCAGTCGCGAGTCGTAGGCGGAATTCGTCGCTAAGGCGAATGGCGGGGAGCAGTTCCGTCAGTGATAGCAGCGCACCATTGGTCTCCGACGACGATCCGAATGTCGCATGCGATCGCAGGCGACATTGCGTGCTGATGGTGTGCGACTTCTTCTTCCCCAACTTCGGCGGCGTGGAGAGCCACATCTACCTGCTCGCGCAGTGCCTGCTACAGCGCGGCCACAAGGTGACGTCGCCACGCGCCAAGGTGACACAGCGATTAGGTCTCGAGTCTTACGTGGCAGCATCGCGCGTAGCGAGTGGCTGGAGGGATGGCGGGCGTAGGCGTGTTGTGAGTGAAGGGGAGGGTGTCCCTTTGGGGCGCGGGCAGGAAGGAGGTTGCTGTGAGGCGCGATAGTGAGAGGCGCACGTGGGGGCCGGAGTTGGATGATGTCGTCTCACACGGGCTTGCCCACGCCCCCCAAACCCCGCGCGCCCTACCCTGCCCTGCCATGCCCTGCCATGCCGTGGTGCAGGTGGTGGTGCTGACGCACGCGTACGGCGACCGAGTGGGAGTGCGCTACCTCACCAACGGCCTCAAGGTCTACTACGCACCGCGCCGCCCCGTGTGGCTGCAGGTGGGTGTTGGACTTGCATGCACATTGAGGAGATGTCGTTACTTGCCCCTTATCCCTCCCCATCCTCCATCCTCCATTCCCCGTCCGCCATCCACCCTTCGCCTTCCCACCAGATTGGACCATTCGCTTTTAGACTATCGGTCGTTGCCCGTGGTCCCATGTGCTTCAGCTCACCTCGGCTGCCTGTCTCTCCTCACTAATGTGATCATAGGATAGAACACGCCTCTCTTGCACACCCACCACAGCTCGCATCTACAATCCCAATCCATGCCCTGCCCCCATCTACCCACCCTACCCACTTTTCCCCACCTTCCCCTTCCCTTCGCCCCCTCTCTCCCCCCCCCACTCCCAATCTCACGGGGCAACGCCCCCCTCGCCGCTCCCCTGTCTGTCGCTGCCGCTGTTTCGCGCCATAGTGGAGCGCGAGCGCGTGGCCATCATGCACGCGCACCAGAGCTTCGCTCCCATGTGCCATGACGCGCTGTTGCATGCCCCCACGCTCGCCCGCCGCGCCGTCTTCACCGACCACTCGCTCTGTGGCTTCACTGACGCCGCCAGCATCCACATGAACAAGGTGCGCCGCCAGCATCCACATGAACAAGGTGCGCCGCCAGCATCCACATGAACAAGGTGCTCCGAGGGAGGGTGGAGGGGGGGGGGGGGTGCATGGGTAGGTGGTGGGCCGTTGGATGGGTGGGTGTGTAAGTGGGTGGGTGGGTGGTGAGATGCACGAGGAGCCGTGCCGTGGCATGCATCAGCCGCCAGCTACTCGTTGGAACGCCCTGTAGTCCAATCCAGTGGATTGGATTGGGTTCCCTCACATATCTTGCGCCCCACAACCTCCGCCTTAGCCTCCTGCCTCCCCTTTTTCTTCCCACCTCCCTTCCCTTCCCCCCCTCACATCTGCTGTAGTTCTCGATGGCGGGCATCCACGCGGCGATCTGTGTGTCACACACGAGCAAGGAGAACACGGTGCTGCGCGCCGCGCCCTCGCTGCCGCCGCACCGCGTGGCCGTCATCCCCAACGCCGTCGACGCCAACAACTTCCTCCCCGACCCCCGCCACTGCCCCCCGCCCCCCATGCTGCTGCTGCTGCCCGCGCTGCGGGTGCTTCTCGGGACGCTGCTGCCGCTGATAGCGCGCGGAACGAGGCGGCAGGAGGGAGAGCAGCAGTGTGGGGCGCGGAATGGGATATGGAGGATGGGGAGGGTGCCGTGGCGTGCAGGGCTGCAGGCAGTGAGGCAGCAGCACATGCAGCGGATGGGGGAGGAGCAGAACACGGGGCAGGTGGGACAGTGGGGCAGAGCGAGGCAGGGGGGGCTGGGGGGAGGGAAGAGGAGGGAGGGGCAAGGGAAGGAGCGTGGAGCAGAGAAGGGGCGGAGGCGGAGACAGCAGCCAGCACGGCACACCCTCCAGCGGCTGAGGTGGGGGGGAGGGTGGGGGGGGGAGGAGCAGAGGGGGGAGGAGCAGAGGGGGGAGGAGCAAGGTGGCAGAGCAGCATGGCAGTGGAGGCAGGCAGGCACGTGGCAGGCAGCACGGGGAGCGCCATGGGGGCTGGTACGGAGATGAGGGCAGGGGCGGGCATGGAGGCGAGGGGGGGGGCGAGAGGGGAGATGGAGGTGGAGATGGAGGTGGAGATGGAGGTGGAGATGGAGGTGGAGATGGAGGTGGTGATAGTGGTGATCAGCCGCCTCGTGTACCGCAAGGGCGCTGACCTGCTCTTTGACGTCATCCCCGCCGTCTGCCACTGCTTCCCCAAGGTGCAAGCGCGTGCCACTGGTGATGCTTGCGCGCATTGGCCCACCCGCTTGGATGCAGTCACCGTGCTGCTATGGTGCACTCACCGTGCTGCTATGGTGCACTCACCGTGCTGCTATGGTGCATTACATTCTCTGAACAATGCATTGTCTGTGTGCGTGTATGTTTGTTGCATGTGCCTGTGCGTGCGTGGGTGGGTGTGTGCGTGCGTGGGTGTGTGCGTGCGTGTGTATGGGAAGGTTGGGGTGTGGAGAAGGGTGGGGAGGGGGTGGGGGCCGGGTTGAATGTGTGCGCGCGAGCGGGCGAGCGTGGGGGCGTGTGAGGTGGGGGTGGGGTGGGGGTGGGTGCGTGGGTGCGTGTATGTGTGCATGTCGTGTGGGTCTCTGTATGTTGATGCGCACTGGCCGGGCCCGTGCGTTGGTGTGGCGTGGCATGTCCCATGGCAGCAGGTGTGGTGGATAATAGGCGGCGACAGCGCCAAGAGGGGGCGGCTGGAGGAGATGAAGGTGCATGTCAGCCCCACGCCCTCATCAGACATTGCGTCTGCACTATTCTCGTACTCTCCAATCCAACACCACACTGCTTTTGCTCTCTTTCCTCGCTTTCACCACTCCTCCTCACTCATCTCGCCCTTGTCGCCTCTCCCCCGCCTCGCCCCCCATCCACCTCGCACCACACAACTCTCTGCACAGTTCTCCGCTTCTGTGTGTGTCTCGCCTTGCCCACTCACTTCCTTCTCCTCTCCCATCATCTCCCCTCCTTTTGCAGCTTCCCTCTGCGCCTTCTCCCATCCGTCCTTCTCTCACATCTCGCTGCTGTGCGCTGCTCAAGCCTGCATGCCATGCCTCGCCCCTCTCTCTCTCTCTCTCTCTCTCTCTCTCTCTCTCTCTCTCTCTCTCTCTCTCTCTCTCTCTCTCTCTCTCTCTCTCTCTCTCTCTCTCTCTCTCGCTCTCACCCCCCCCCAGCTCGCTGACAGAGGCCTTCTGCATTGCCATTCTCGAGGCCGCCTGCTGCGGTCTCTTCGTTGTCGCCACGCGTGTTGGTGGCGTGCCCGAGGTGGGGTGAGGTGCGGTCCGGTGAGGTGAGGTGCAGTGAGGGAGGGGAGGAAAGGGGAGGTGAGGGCGCATGGGTTGTTGGGGTGGGATGCACATGGGTGGTGAAAGGTGTGTGTGAGAGAGCAGCCTGCAACGACAGTGCAGTCACGTCTTGCCTTTCCACACCTTACTCTCTCCCCTACTACGCCTCCCCTGCCGTGCCCACCATTACGCCCTCTCCTCTGCGACTTCTTTCCGTCCCTTGCCCTCCTTTCTTCCCACACTCTCCTCCCTATGCTCCTTCCCTGCCCATGGATCTTCCCGTCCCTCCGCTTCCACCCCCCCCTCCCTCCTCCCCGAATGTCCCAACCGTCCACAACCCCCTCCTCCCTCCCCCCTCCTCCCTCCCCCCCCCCCCCCCCCCCCCCCCCCCCTCCCCCCTCCCCCCCCCCACCACCAGGTGCTACCACCGGACATGATGCTGCTGGCGGACCCCAACCCGCCAGACATAGTGGACGCCATCGCACAGGCCATTCAGATCGTGCCACGTGTCAACCCCCAGGCCATGCACGAGCGGGTGCGTGTGTTCTCACAACCACCATCGCACCCTGCACTCCATCGCACCCTGCACTCCATGCACAGCCTCCGCGTGTCCCACGCTCATTCTTGAGGCTTCTCAAAACACCCTCTCAGAATTCACTCTTCTTAAGATCAGCGGCTCCCACGCCGTGCCATGGGCTTTGTGCACCCGCTCTGCCTGCCGCACTCTGTGCTGCGCCTCTCTGCCGCACTCTGTGCTGCGCCTCTCTGCCGCACTCTGTGCTGCGCCTCTCTGCCGCACTCATGCCCCCCTCCCCACTGTCCCCCACCCTGCTGCCCTCCACCACGCGCATCTCCTGGTTGCACCGCATCACCACGCGCATCTCTTGGTTGCACCGCATCACCACGCGCATCTCCTGGTTGCACCGCATCACCACGTGCATCTCCTGGTTGCACCGCATCACCACGCACATCTCCTGGTTGCACCGCATCACCACGCGCATCTCCTGGTTGCACCGCATCACCACGCGCATCTCCTGGTTGCACCGCATCACCACGCGCATCTCCTGGTTGCACCGCATCACCACGCGCGCATGGGGATGGGGGGCGGCCAGGTGTCGCGCATGTACAGCTGGCACGACGTGACGGAGCGCACGGAGCGCGTGTACGACCGCGTCATGGCCATGCCGCTCGACGACCTGCCCACCCACCTCTCCAGGTGCGCCCACCCGCCTCTCCAGGTGCGCCCACCCGCCTCTCCAGGTGCGCCCACCCGCCTCTCCAGGTGCGCCCATGGCACCGCCGCTCCCTCCTCCGCCCTCACACCTCTCACTGGCTTGCTGTCACTCGAGAGCGCTCCTCTGTCACTCGAGAGTGCTCCTCTGCCTCTGCCTGAGCTGTGCCTCGCACGTCAACCTCCCACCTCACACTCGCTGCACTCCCGGATCCGCCTCACTGGATTTCGCATGACTGAACGTAATTTCCATGCTGCCCTCACACCGTGCTGCCGTGCCATGGTGCTGCGGTGGCACACGGCAGGTACTACGCGTGTGGGGTGGTGGCGGGCAATGTGTTCTGCCTCGTCTTGCTGCTCAACTCGCTGCTCGCCGCCCTCCTCGCCCTCCTGCAGGCACTCGCCCTCCTGCAGGTACTCGCCCTCCTGCAGGCACTCGCCCTCCTGCAGGCACTCGCCCTCCTGCAGGCACTCGCCCTCCTGCAGGCACTCGCCCTCCTGCAGGCACTCGCCCTCCTGCAGGTACTCGCCCTCCTGCAGGTACTCGCCCTCCTGCAGGTACTCGCCCTCCTGCAGGTACTCCTCGCCCCCCCCCCTCGTTCCCACCCTCCCCTTGTTCCCAACCACCCTTTCCTCGCACCACGTGCACCCATGAGTGCACCCATGACTGCACCCATGAGTGCTTACCCCCATCATCCCCCCCATGCATGCCATGCGCCCACCACACACCACGGCGTGGCGGAGGGCAGGGGGAGCAGCACGTGGAGGTGGCGCCCGACTTCCCCAGCATGCCCACCGCACCCCTGCCAGCGCCACCGCCGCCCTCCTCTCGTGCGCGCCCAGCATGATCTGCGTGCCACACCTCCACGCGGCTGCTGGGGACGCCGTTCACTTGGTTTCTTGGTCGCTGCTTCGCCAACCTGCCTGCTCCACGCTCTCAACTCGGACATGTCTGGCCGTGGATGGGGGTGCGTGGCCGCTCCATATCCCCAGAAGTGCCTGCGAGAAAGGCTCCCAAGCAGCAGCATTGAGACATGTGTGTGGAAGACCCAAGCAACCGTGTTCTCCCATGGGCTGCCGTGCATTGCATAGGAGAGGGACAGTGCACGAGTGCGCTAGTAGGTTCTTCTTCAACAAGAGGCAGTCACTGTGCGTGCTGCTGTCACATCCTTGCACTGGCCGCCATTTGTCCCTCCTCCTATCACGAGCTAGCCAGTCTGCCAGCTGTCAGCGGATCCCTCCCCCAGGAGGGATTGAATTCAAGCTGTACTGTGGTTCGTGTTGGGCCGAGATGCGCCCTTCAGAACTACAGTACTACTGATGCATCAGTCCGTGTAGTCCCATGGAGAAAGTCTGGTCTAAATGGAATGGAATGTTGTTAGCCAGTTTGGGAAGTGCGGAAGACTCACAAGATTTAGGATTCAGCACAGCCATGCTGAAGCATGTTGAGAGGTTCCCGTTTTAGAATATCCGTATTGACCTGCTGCCTGAAGAAATCTGTAGTTGAACTACTTCATCATGGAACACGCAACAATCAGCCATTGTAGTTGCAACAGCCAGCGCGAACCCAATGGTATCTATCAACCCATACTTTATTATACTACATATATTTTTAGAACTATTTGACAATAGCCACGCCTAATCCAGCACCGGCGTAGTTGATGTGTGCACTCGACGTCGCTGTACTCGCCTCGAGCCCCGAGCCCCGAGCGCTCGCCTGGGCGGTACCCAGGCGATTCCTCGCGGCCTCACTGCCAGCTGGCGCGGAATGCACGGCTGCGCCCACCGCCTGTTCAGCTGCCTCCTTACCGCATCGCTTCACGGGCCACTGCGCGTCTATCCAACGGCAGCCTTGCCGTCCGTCTTTCCTCTTCCGCGCAGCATCTTCTGCGGCGACTGTGGGGGCGCGGCGTCGCCGTCGGCGGCGGAGACGTCGAAGCCGAAGGCGTTGGAGCACGAGAGGCGCTCCCAGCAGCTGAGGTACACCGGCACGCCCGCGTCGTCGCTGACCCAGCTGCCGTACGTCTCGGCGGCGGGCGACCACTTGATGCACTTGGACTGCTCTCGCCCCGCGCCCATCCACCCCACGTACTCGTCGTACGCTGCCTCGTTATAGTCCTTCTCGCCGAGCACCTCCAGTGTTCCATTTCCGTGCTGCGTGGTGTTCTCCAGCTGACCGTACACCTGCGCGCTGCTCAATCCTTCGCACGCTGAGGAGTTAGCGAAAGAGGGTAACCCGTCAAGGTCTGTGACTCGCAACACGCTGTCGAATTTGTGATCGGAGTCGCAGAAGTCTGTTTCGCTGTAGATGTACCACGTGCGAAGGCAGTCTGAGGGCGCGTTGGCGAAGACGGAGCACTCGTAGAAGCAGAAGTTGTGAGCCGCTGCTGGTGTCGCGAAAATGGCGGCCACAAGGGCAAACAAAACGACCACTGTGAGTGTTGCGGATTGACGAATGGTACCCATGCCTATCTCACACGATGGTGCACTACTTTCGGAAGAAAATAGTGGTCAGGCGTTATGGCTATGATATTCGTCTGACGGTCACAAGGGTCTGGTCACAGCGCTGGGTGTTACACAAAACTCTACTGGTCAGCAAAGAGGCGAGGATGGCGGCTCAACGGATAGGAAAAGCTCGGTGCAGTCGAATTGCTGTTGTGGCTGGGTTCCCAGCGATCGGCTGGTGCTTTAGAGGGGCTGGGATGGCTCTTCGCCACAATGGCTTTTCGCAGTGATGACACTTCGTTAGCATCCCTTCGCTGTGCCATTCTGTAAATTGGCCTTGCAGCCTCTCTCCCGCCTTCCAGAACATACTGTTCTTCCTTCCGCTCGGTACTCGCGGCTCGACTGCAAGCGAATGCGATTCCAGGCAAACTTCAAGCACAAGTGGTTACAGCAGGTACGCAGCGCATACAACATGCCAATTAGCATGCCGAGGCGAGGGTTGTGTGGGTTTGGAGGCTGCAAATGCGAAAGTATAACGGTGTTACGTGTGCAATTGGGTGAACGAACGAGAATTGCACTATCGAAGCAAAAGTACAATGAGCGAAGGCATGAGCGAAGGATTATATAGCGAAACAATAGTGGTAACGGTAATGGACTGTGGTTGTCGCGCGTCGAGCCTGAGACTGAGGTTGGGAAAGTGTCGAAGCGTAGGCCCGGAGCGCGGGTTACCAGCCGAGCCGTGAGGTCGGGATGCGATGTGCGAAAAAGGCGGGATGATGAATGATGCGATGGTCGCGAGTGGTAACGGTGCTGACTGAGGTGCTACAGTGACGTACGCGCTGGGCAGGGACGCGAAGTAAGGAAAAGGGAATTTCCTTACACTACCCCCCTCCCCAAGGAGGCCCCTCTTACGAGAGCGCATGGACGTCGCGGAAATTTCGGCTTCGCAGATACTCGGTGAAGACAGGGTGGTTCTCAATTTTATCCAGGGGGACCCAGTTGTCTTCTGTGGCCGTTCGGTCCTTCCAGCGAATTAGGAACTCGATCCTTCGGGCTCCCCGAGGGTCGCGGACGCGGTGGCTGAGGATTTTGTCAGGGGTGATGAGTGGTTCGGTTGGGGGACGTGTCATGCTGGCTGGGCGATGTCGTGGCAGTTGGCTCGTGGATGGGATGTAAGGGCGAAGTAGGCTGACGTGGAATGACGGGCTGACGTACCAGTCAGCGGGGAGGAGGAGGTGGGCGGTAACGGGTGTGATCATGTGGCTGATGCGAAATGGCCCACAATATCGGGGGCGAAGTTTTGGAGTGATGGGCAGGCGAAGGTTCTGAGTGTCGAGTAAAACGAGGTCGTCGGGCTGATAAGTAACGGGTCGGCGATGTCGATCGGCGTTGCGTTTAGCGATGATGTTTGATTTTTTTATTGCTTCTGCTGCCCTGGTCCGTGCTGCCTGCAGAATCTCGGCGAACTGTTGTGCTCGTGGGACGGGGTTGTCGGGATTCGGTGTCATGGGTACTGTTGGGTCCTGTCCGTAATTTAGATAAAACGGCGACTGTTGCGTCGTGGCTGATGGTGCGTTATTGTATGCGAACTCGATAAGTGGCAGCTGCTGTTCCCACGTATTCGGGTCGTCGCACGTGGCTCGAATCAGCTGCTCCATGGTCTGATTTGTTCGTTCCGTCTGTCCGTCGGTTTCGGGGTGATAGGATGAACTGAACTGTAAGCGTGTGCCGAACTGCTGCCACAGGTTCCGCCAGAAGTTGCTGGTAAATTTCGTGTCCCTGTCGCTGATGATCGACGCGGGTATCCCGTGCAGTCGTACGACGGTGGAGATGAATAGTCGGGCGGTTTCTTCGGCTGTGATGGATTTCCTGCATGCTGCGAAATGAGCCATTTTCGTTAGTCGATCGACGACGACCAGGATCGCGTCATTCCCACTCGCCCCAGCTGGTAACCCCGTGACGAAGTCCATCGTCACCTGCTGCCAAGCACGCTCTGGAGGCGGGATGGGTTGTAATTGCCCCGCTAATCGCTTCCTGCTTGACTTCATGAGCTGGCAAGTGGGACACGATGCCACATGTCGTTGCACATCGGTCAACATTTCTGGCCAGTAGTAGTACCGCTGCAGCTGCTGCCGTGTTTTTTCTACCCCGAAATGTCCCGAGGTAACTCCATCGTGTGCTTCCTGTAACAGTAGTTCCCGCAGTAGCGTGTATCCCGGTACCCAGATGCGGTCGGTTCCAGTTTTTACGTAATAGACTCCTTTTGCCGCTGCGAATTGCTGTGAGTTGCCTCCTGTAAAGAACGAGTCTGTTTGATATCCGTGGGTAAATAGGCCGGTAAGCAGTGGGCTGGTCTGGGCGAGTAGTATCGCGTGGATCTGGGCAGTGGGGCGGGTCAGTGCGTCGGCGATATTCGATGCTCCTTTTTTGTATGTGACCGTATAGTGAAAATTCGACTCGAGGAAATCGAGCCATCGAATCTGTCGTGGGTTGAGGTGGGGCTGTGCGCGGAGGTACTGTAGAGATCGGTGGTCTGTCCGTACTGTCACGTCTGCGCCAGTCAAGTAGCAGCGCCAAACTTTGAATGCATGCACGATCGCGAGCATTTCGCGGTCGTGTATCGGGTAATTTCGCTCAGGCGGATGTAGTTTGCGTGATTCGTAGGCGATGGGTTGGAGGCCGTTGCCGAAGTCCTGTAACAGTACAGCTCCGATGGCGATGTCACTTGCGTCGGTAACCACTTCGAAAGGGCGGTGGGGATCAGCGATACGTAGAACGGGTGGTGAACAGAGGACGTTTTTTAGGGCAGAGAAGGCAGCATGCTCTTTCTCCCCCCACGTAAAAGCGACCCCCTTACGCAGTAAATCAGTTAGTGGGGCTGTTAAACGTGCCATGTCGGGCACGAACCGTCGAACGTAATTAACAAACCCTAAAAAACTCTGCAGTTCCGTGATGTTTGTCGGGGGGCGCCACGCTTTTACCGTATCCAGCTTCTTTGGGTCGATCTCAACCCCAGCCTCGGAAATGACGTGACCTAAAAACTCTAGCCTATCCCTAAAAAACTCGCACTTGGAGCCCTTGGTGAGCAGCCGATGTTCCTCTAAAACCTTAAAAACTGCTTCGAGATCTGCTAAGTGTTGCTGCTTATCCCGACTGTAAACGAGGATATCGTCGAGGTAAACGATCACGCATCTATCTAAAAGTGGTCTAAACGCCTCGTTCATGGTCATCTGAAAAGTCGCAGGCGCGTTCGTCAATCCGAAAGGCATTACTGTATACTCGAATGACCCGTACCTAGTCCTAAATGCTGTTTTTGCGCAGTCCGATGGTTCGACCCGAATCTGATGGTAACCTCCCCGTAAATCTATTTTCGAAAAGACACGTGCTGTTCGCAGTTGGTC